AAGAAATAATAAGACTTGTAACTAGGGACCAATTATTCATTCAACCAATCTAAAAAAGCTAATATTACAGCTAGGGATCAATCTGTAATTTATCATGTTTTCAAGGATCAAATTGTAACTTTGTCCAATTAGAGGACCAAACTAAAAATATCATAAATTCATGAATATAGTGAAATTATGTCCATAATTCATCCTCATTCTTATCCAGAATCTTTAATTATGCTCTAGGGACCATTCTGGAATTTTTTAAAATTTTTAGGGTTAAATTGTACTTTTTGTTAAATGGGAGGACCAAATTAAAAGTGTTAAATATTCATAACTATACTGGAATTCTGCCCATAATTCATCTTTTATTCTGTCCAGAATCTCGGAATATACTCCAGGGACCAATATGTAATGTTCTAAAGTTTGGGAACAAAATTGTAATTTTCACAAATTGAGGGATCAAACTGAATTTTTATCATCTTCAACCTCACACACATAATTTTTACAAATTACCTACTTTTATCTCCTAATTTATAATATAAATTCACCATTCAAACAAAATCATAACTTAAAATCATCATCTTTATCTACAATCTTTCAAAATCAGTTAATTAACTCATTACCCATAACAATCAACCCAAAATATTTAAATTACTTCATCAATAAACCCAAAACACAATCTTCAAAACCCTAACATTTATCATAATAGACATTTAAAACTAAAAAAAAACACATATTTATGCATTTAAAGATCAACTTAAATTTAACCTTTAAACTTATTTTCTTCAATTTTCTTCTATTTCCCTTATCTTTCACTCTTCTTCTTCTCTTCTTCTTCTTCTTCTTCTTTCTCCCTTCACTCCTACCAGTTCTCTTTTAAAATTTTCAAATCTCGCTTTCTTTTTATTTTTTTCCCTATTTATACTTATTATGTTTATTCAATTACCACAATACCTCCTTTTTTATTTATACCCACTTTTAAGCCTTCAAAGGCTTTATTGCCTTTTTCTACTCATTTATTTCAAAACATCACATAGTTAATGTTTTATTTTAAGAAAATATAATTGCTATATTTTATTTGTTGATGATGTAAGGTTTAGAAAACACAACAAAGTATTCCTATGTAAAATATTGTATGATGAGATGAGATATGATTTAGGATGGGTGAATTGAAGTAGAAAATTGAGTATTGTGATTGAATGAAATCTAGTTGACAACTTGATAATATTAAAAAATCAAAGGAAACTCTGCGAATTTTTCTATAAGAAATTAGATTTATATAATAGCTATTTCTTTGATGATATAACTTTGAAAATGATACATCAAAGGTCAGATACATTGGACAATAACCATAAGATAGTAACAATTTAAGACTTAGACAATAATAATTCAAATTTTGATAGTCTTATATATATATATATATATAAAAAAAAAACTATGATCTATTTTCTAATTGCATGATATTGTTATTTTATCCCAGTCGAGGGGATGTTATATTATGATTTATTACTTAGGGATTGATATCAATTAAGGAGAAGATGAAAACTTTATGAACCAAAGAGAAGTTTACAAAAGAGATTCTCAAGAATTTCAAAATAAAGGATTAAGCAAAAGTGAATACTCTAGTTGAGTATGGAGAGAAGATGTCAAAGAATAATAAAGTAAAGAAGATAAATTCTACAATATTCAAAAGCCTAATTAGAAGTTTGAGATACTTAATATGCATAGTCTAGATATTGTTTTTTGGAGTAGGGCTTGTAAATAGATTTATGGAGACACCAATCATGACACATTTCAAAGCTTTGAAGCAAATTTTTCGGTATACCAAAGGTACTGTTGATTTTGACTTCTTATATGGATACTCTAATAGCTTTAAACTTATAGGTTATAATGATAGTATTTGAGTTGGAGATATAAATGATAGAAAAAAAACTATAGGTTTTGTTTTCTACATAAGAGAAATAACATTCACATGGAGTTCAAAGAAGAAACCTATAGTTATATTATCAATTTGTGAAACTAAGTATATTCTTACTACAACATGTGTTTGTCATTCTATATGGCTAAGATAATTATTGGAGTTGTGAATGCTATAATAGAAGTATATATAAATTTATATGGATAACTTATCAATCATTGTCTTAGCAAAGAATCTAATGTTTCATGATAGAAGTAATCACATTGACATATGATTTCATTACTTACAATATTGCATTACAAATAAAAAAAGTTGAAGTCAAGTATGTAAAGATCTAAGATCGAGTCGTAGAATTTTCATAAAGTCACTTAAATATGATGTTTTCGCCAAGATGAGAGATACGTTGAGAGTTTTAAGAGGGGATATTAAAAGTAGAGTAACTTGTCTACCAGTTAAGTCGGTCAATTAATTGGATTAAATAAATTAATTGACTGGTTAAGTTGGAAAAATGCTTCTCCTTATTAGTTTAGGTTTTTCTTTTTTAGTTTAATTTATTGATTATCTAGGATGTTGTACCTGTAAATAGACTTGTAATTGAAACGTGAGAGAAGTATGTAGAAAAGCTTATACAATATATCTTTGAGAAAATTCTTAATGCAAAAGCATCTTTTCTCTCAAATTTTTCTTCTCTTTAGTTTTGCTTTTTAAGATTATCTTCTAAGTTTCTTCCAATAGAAACTAATGGTGGAACATTAATTGTATACATTAATCTAGACCCATTTTTTAGCTCAATGCATGTTGATTTTGATACTAAAGAAGTAAAATTGATCAAATCACTTTCTACTTAAAGAATAAAAAAGGGGAGAACATGGAATTTTTATAAAATATTATTTTACTAATTTTGGTACCCTTGGATGCCATGAGCTAATGAACAAAACATCTAGCTTTGAAAGGAAGTCAAGACAAGTAAGAAAACAATTATTCTGTTTTTATTTTGTTTCTATATTTATTTTTTGGGTTTAGCTTAGTGAAATCACATATATTTTACAATAATCAACTAGATTTACTAGCAACAAAAATGTAAATATGTTCTAAATTCTATCAAAGTTTAAATTCTAATTTCTTAGGAGTAGGAAGATCAACACTATTTAGCGTTGACATAACAGAAATTTTGAAATTGGAAGAAAATGATGGAATACAGGGCTTTTCATTATCCTGATTGTCCATCCTTCTAGTCCTCAGGATTTCCCTCTGCCCACCTTTACTTCCATCTCCACAATTATTTTTTAATGAATATTAAAATTAATAAGATTTTGATGTTCAATAAAATTAATAGTGTGTTGGTTTTATTGTACTTTTTGTTGTTTTTTAAATTAACAACTAAATAACTAAAACATATATTAAACTTGTGAAGGAATCATCCAAGGCATTTTTTTTGTTCATAGGTGATTCCATCAGAAATATAGGCGATGTTTCCTCGGAAAGTTACAAAATGGCTTAAAAGTTTTAGACTTTTCCGAAGGAATTAGCGACGAACATTCTGTTGCCAATTCCTTCACTTACCCAATCAGCAATATTTAGTTTTTGCGATGGAATAGGCAATATAATATTTCATCGGTAATTTATTTGCCAATGAAAACTGGTCGGTACATTTTAGTTTTTTTATGCCAATATTTCGTTGGCATCTTTGCCAGCATTACAAATTAACAACAGAAATTCCAACGAATAGTAAATCCCTGATAAAACGTTTCCTGATGATGTGTTTACGTCGGGAAATCATTCGGCGAAGTAAATGGTTGCTGAAATAGAGTTCACTCACCGACTAAATATTCTATCGGTGTTTTTTAATTTTCTGTTGGTATGTGCCGGTCCCATGCTCAAATTCAGGTGGTGACAATTTCCCTTCAGTTTTCATTTTTTTCTGGGAACAATTTACGTAGATCAGTTAAGTTTAAAACAATTTGATTGGAAAAGGCGCTTCTACACGGTCCAAATAATTTGTCGGGGTCCTCTTTACCTTCATAGAGATTCTAGACGAAGGATCATTCATGGAGATCTGAAGCCATGTAACATCTTGTTGCATGACTGGATGAATCCAAAAATTTCAGACATGGGATGGCCAAGATCTCTGGTGGCAGAGAAGATCAAGAGAATGCTATTAAGTAGACTTTTCTTTCCTATTTTCTACTGTATTGAAGTATCAAAGGTTTGAGCTAAGAAACAATTGTTCTTATGGAGTGGTTTCTATGTCCCCTGAATATTTAAGGGAAGGGCTGTTTTAAGAGAAGTCAAAAGGATTTTAGCTTTTGATGGGCACATAAGGTCGAACAAAAAGAATTCAACTATGGCATATATGAGCTCAACTATGCTAGCTTGGCACCTAAAATATTATATTATGGCACTGAAACTTCGGTTGTAAACCTGTCTTTAGACCGGTCAGATTCTTCAGACTTCTTTGGTATAAATAGACTCTTCTTAGAAACTCACCAGCCTATAACAGTTGATAATTTAGAGTATAAATTTAATCAGCACCCAAATAAATATTGCAGGCAAATCCAAAATAAACTAAGAGGAACATGTCAATCATGTCAAGAGCTACTTTCAAATAAGATGTCAAGATCATAGCGCCTAACAGGAACATGTCAATCATGGTGAGGCAAGGGTATGTTTTGTGATAATATCCTATAAAAATAAAAATTCTATCTATCTCACAAGCTAGTTGATGAGGTTCATTCTGATGAAATATCACTATTTTAGCACAAGAAGGTCAAAATCTCAGAGTAAAACACAACCTTGCTTATGTAATATAACAGTTTGGTTAAACATTATTTAGAGATGGAGATTTACAGAAAACATTGGAATTTCTGACATATAATTGCTAAACTTAGTTTCTATTTGAAAAATAACTTCATGATTGGAATTAAAAGGACAGGAAGAGAAATATTCTTCTTCGTGGCGTTCTTTCTCTGAACAGTTAATAGACAATTGGTTAGCCTTCCATTCTGATCAATAACAAGCATGGGACGTGGCAACAGCGAAGTTGCAGTAGCTCTTTTTCTGTTTCTATCATGTTCCTGCTCAGTTTATGGTGATGCAGGAGATACCATAACTACTTCTCAACCCATCAAAGATCCAGAAGCGATAGAGTCTGCCGGAAAAAAGTTCCAACTGGGATTTTTCAGCCCAGTTAATTCAACATATCGATATGTCGGAATATGGTATAGTACTGTATCAGAAGCAACTCCAACTCCAGTACTATGGGTGGCCAACAGAAACAACCCAATCAACGATTCTTCAGGGATGATGACTATATCCGAAGATGGAAATCTTGTGGTTTTGAATGGTCAGGGAGAGTTTCTGTGGTCATCAAATGTCTCAATTGGGTTCAATCAGTCAACTGCACAGCTTACTGATGATGGAAACCTAATCTTGAAAGCGGGACCGAACGGAAACCTTGTATGGCAAAGTTTCCAGCAGCCTACGGATACTTACTTATCAAAGATGAGACTTAGTGCTAACGCAAGAACAGGGAAAAAGACGCTACTAATGTCATGGAGAAGCTCATCTGATCCTTCAGTTGGAAACTTCTCTGCTGGTCTCAATTCATTAGGAGTTCCTGAGTTCTTCATCTGGTACAATGGTCATCCATTTTGGCGTAGTGGTCCATGGGGTGGTCAGAATTTTATTGGAATACCAGAAATGTATAATTCTGTGTATTTAGATGGATTTAGTCTACAATATGAGGGAGATGGAACTTTCACTCTAAGTTCAATTCTAGACCAAGCTATCCGTTTAACGTATGTTTTGACTTCTCATGGAAAATTTAGAGAGCACTACTGGGATTATGGGAAGGGAGTTTGGGAGTATAAATGGGAAGTTCCATCCACTGAGTGTGATATTTATGGTAAGTGCGGGCCATTTGGAAGCTGCGATGCACAGAATTCTCCCATCTGCACATGTTTAAAAGGGTTTGTTGCAAAAAATCAAGATGAATGGAACAAAGGAATTTGGACTAGCGGTTGTGTTAGGAAGGCACCGTTGCAGTGTGATAGAATACAGAATGGTAGCGAAACGGTAAAAGAAGATGTGTTTAAGAAGCTAGTGAGGATGAAGGTGCCAACCTTTGCCGAGTACTGGTCATATCCGTCCTCCGAACAAGAATGCAAAGATGAGTGCTTGAGGAATTGTTCTTGTGTCGCTTATTCATATTATAATGGTTTTGGCTGTATGTTATGGACAGGAAACTTGATTGATATACAAAAGTTCTCTGAAGGAGGGACAGATCTCAACATTCGCCTGGCGTATACAGAACTTGGTAATAATAATAATATTTTCTGATTTTCTTTCACTAGTGTTTCGTTTATCAGGTGTGCATAACTAGTATAGATACATCGAGTTCTGTATCAGTATGCGAAACTATTCCCAAGTTTTTTCGTATTTCCATTACATTTTTCCTAAATAACCACCACTACAATTTTCTGGTGGCAGATACCATGAAAAACATGGAAATAATCATCAGTATGTCAGTGATTGGAGGAGCCATAGCTATCTGCATCTGTGTTTTTTTTTCTTGGAAGTGGATGGCTACACATAGAGGTAATATGCTAGGTCTTATTCGCTTACTGAACTTCTAAACTTTACAATTTTTAGAAGAAAAGGAAAAAACAATTCCCAAATAATAACGATACTTCCACTTAAATTCAGAAAGGAATTTGATAAGTGAGGAGACCTTATCTTCAGAAGCTCAAGAAACAGTTTTTGATGGAAACTTGCCCGAAAACATCAGGGAAGTTAAACTTGAACCACTCTTCAAATTACAAATTCTTGAAACTGCTACAAACAACTTTGACATATCCAAGAAGCTTGGGCAGGGCGGCTTTGGTGCCGTATACAGGGTAATTCTTCTGGAAATAAAGGTGCTTTATAGTTATTTAGAGCAAATAGGTATTTATCGGTTTGATGTGACATGGTAGGGAAAATTGCCAGATGGACAGGAAATAGCTGTGAAAAGACTTTCTAGAACATCTGGTCAAGGGCTCGAAGAGTTTATGAATGAAGTCGCGGTGATTTCTAAACTCCAACACAGGAATCTTGTGAGACTTCTTGGTTGCTGTGTTGAAGGAGAAGAGATGATGTTGGTTTATGAGTACATGCCGAATAAAAGCTTGGATGTATTTCTCTTTGGTTAGGGCTACAGCTCTGTTTTGTTTAGCTACTACTTTTCTTGACTCATTTTCAATTTCATAGATCATAAGTTTCAAGCAGGAGAAGCGATGGCTAATTTTCTTTAGTCTTTTTCGTTTGCCCTTGTTTTCTCATAATACTTTCTGGATACAACTTGTTTAGATTCACCCAGGAAAGGACACCTTGATTGGAAAAGACGCTTCAACATTATTAATGGAATTTGTCGAGGTCTTCTTTACCTTCACAGAGATTCTAGACTAAGAATTATTCATAGAGATCTGAAGCCAAGTAACATCTTATTGGACCACGAGCTGAATCCAAAAATTTCAGACTTCGGAATAGCCAGGATTTCTGGCGGCAATGAAGTGAATACTACCAGGGTTGTTGGAACCTTGTGAGTAGTGTATTTTTTTTTCCATTTCCACTCCTATTACTGTTTCTCTAATTTGAGCCCAGAAAACTGTTGTGCTTATGCAGTGGCTTTATGTCTCCTGAATATTTGATGGAAGGAAGATTTTCAGAGAAATCAGATGTGTTTAGCTTTGGAGTGTTGTTGCTGGAGATCGTGAGCGGAAGAAGGAACGCTCATTGTTATGGCCATGAGCATGCTCTGAGTCTCATAGGATTTGTATGTCTGTCCGCCACACAGCCTGAGATATATTTGGAAAGCACCTTTCAATTTCTGATACTATTAAACTTGCAAACTCTTACTTGTATGATTGTATCTACATTTTCAGGCTTGGAAACTGTGGAATGAAGGTGACATTGCAGCTTTGGTCGATCCTGCAATATCAGATCCATGTTTTCAGTTGGAGATATTCCGATGCATACATATCGGTCTGTTGTGCGTGCAAGAATTGGCAAAAGATAGACCGGCCGTGTCAACAATCATTTCCATGCTAAATAGTGAAATTGTGAATCTTCCTGCTCCAAAGAAACCAGCATTTGTGGAAAGGCAGAGTTCCTTGGATACAGAGTCCATTACTCAGAGCCATAAGATAAATTCCATTAACAATGTGACGATTTCTGATCTTAACGGCCGATAGAGTTCAGAACTTGTTTACTTTTCTGTTACATATCTACATAGCTGATCATCGTGAAATGTTATATAACATTACATTGCTTGGTATGACTCAATCAGATTACTATCAGGCTGTCAGTTTTGTGGTATTTGTATTCTACTTGCAGTTTAAAGAAAATATCATTTACTGATAGGAAAGCTCCCAGTGACCTTTTCATGCATTCTCATGCTGTTCCTTGAAAAAAATGCTTGAAACGATGGCTTCTGTAGCTCCTGTTAGACACGATGTAGCTTTCTTTTAGCAAAAACAAATCCAGGGTTATAGAATTTGTTCTCATTCAAATGTCAACCTGTATGGTCTAAATCAAGCTTAGTTTAAAATAGTAATGTTAAAAGACAATGTAATCATCTTGGACTTATTTTTGAAAAAAATTATGAGCTCATGTTGAACAGAGCGAGATGGGAGGAGAACTGCTGTTATTGACCAGCAAGGCATCCGCAAGTAAGGCTTGCCATTCTCATCAAGGATAAATACAGGTATATGTGGTTATGGGACATAGCAGCAGTACTCCTTGTCTTTCTACCCTGCTTATGTTCATATTTCGATGCTGCCATTGACATATTTACATCATCTCTACCCATCAAATATCCTGAAACTATTGTCTCGACAAGCAATATTTTTAAACTGGCATTTTCCAGCCCCGTTAATTCCTCAAAACGCTGTGTTGGAATATTTTTAAACTATTGTCTCGACGAGCAATGTTTCGGCAACAATATCATGATACAGTGACTTATCAAAAGTGAAGAGGTGGATATGAGATTCTCATATTGTCTTAATAGTAATCTTCTTGATAACTGCTTAAGGATCAGATGTATCTTCCTATAAGTTTTAATTAAAAAATTATCATTGAGAAGAAACTGTTAAAAATAAACTAAATTTCGATTTTTTTTGTGCAACTGAGGAACTTATTTACTGAGTGGGTAGCAGCCGACTAGTTGGATTAAATTAATTGGTTGATTGATTCAGTCAGCAAAATACTTTTCCTTATTAATTTAAGTTTTTTTTTAATTAGTTTAATTTCTTGATTATTTAGGATTTTGAATAAAACCTTATAAAAAAAAGAAAAAAAATTGACCCAGAATAATTATACTTGGGAAAAACATGAAGGAACCAACCAATAAACTTAAAGGACACTAAGAGAGTACAATGTCTAAACATGACCCACGTAACCCTTATTTACGAGGTAGTATAAATACATTAAGAGAATGGAGAGGTGACTTCTCCTTTCCCCATGGTCCGGCCAGAACAACCCTGACAACCTCCTCTCTATCAAATTCCCATCAAAACACTCCTTGCATATCACCTTTCTTGAATGCTTGTCTAAGAAAAAGATTAAATGCGAGGTGAGAGACCAAAAAAATTCAAGTGTTGGAAGAGATACAGGGTTGGCCGGAACACCATAAAAGAAAGGGAAGAGAAGCAAAAAGAGAAGAAGAAAATCTTGAAAAACTCCCCCAGATTTGTGTAAATTCGTGTGGTAAGAACAAATCTTTACTCTTTTATTGTTGTTTTGATTTAATTAGGTTCAAGGGGAGAAAGCCCAAAATGAGAAAATCTAGAGTTCTTATACTTACTGATTATTAAGGACCAAAATGATAAGACTAGAAGTTAGTCTTAAGGAAAGACAAAATTCAGAATTTTATAACAAAAGAAACTCATGAATGTCGAGAGAGAAAACCCAAGCGAAGGCCGGCCACTAAAGGAGTGGAGGGAGAAGAGAAATTTATTGATAAACTCTAGTATCGCACCCGATAACAACATAGTTTTACAAGTTTATTTTTGAAAAAAATAGATTTTTGATATTTTATTTTTTAATAAAAAATATTTTTATTTAAGAAATCACTAAATATTATAGCATTAGAAATTTTAATTTATCAATAAAAATTTTATGATTTGAAACTGATTACATGAAAAAAAAATATTATCATTTCTTAAACATTTTGTCTGAGGCAGACTATATTGCTAGTATTGTTTTAAATTGTTAAATATTTATTAATTTAGACTATGATAATTTGTTTATAATATTCTTAACTTTGATGTCAATGAATATTTAACTACGGATACTTCCAGCTTTAATGTTGGTAAATATTACATAGATATAAATATTTTTATTTTTGACTCTAACGTCAATAAATAAACAACTAAAATAAATTTATTTTTATATATGTATATATGTTTTATTTTTCTAGATAAATAAAATAAAATATAATTAATAATATAAATATAAATTAATATTTTTATTATTGATTCTATGTTAGTTAATAAATCAATAAATTTTTATTATTTTTATTCGTACATGTATATTTAATTTTTATATTTTAATATTTTTTATTTTTTGAGCTAGCCTTACTTAACTTATATAAGCTGGGCTGGGCCCAGCCAGCCCTGCCCGGTCGCTGGCTTAGGCAGTGACCTGGCTGGGCTAACGCACGCGTGTAGCAACACTGTGTAAGTGAATTAAAATTCACTTGCATAGTATAAATGCTAATTCACTGAAACCATGCGAGAAGAAGAAGTCGATTACCTGATCTGCTAGAGGCGATGGAAACGATGGCGAAGCTCTGGCTGACCGACACTACCTCCTCTCCTCTGCTTCTTCTTCTGCTTTCCTTTGCTTCTATGTCCACCGTCTGCTTGCGTCCTCCAGCAGATTTTAGAGGATGAAAGGATCAACAGTGAAGATGCCGGTTTGCTATGGATGTTAATTGTTGAGTCTTCTTTTGTTTTTCTTATTGTAGGGATAAAAAAATGGCAGGGACAATCCTTGTTTGTGTGTATGCTGCCCTTTTTGTTCCTTGCTCTCTACGTGTTGCTCTGTGTTTTTTCTTTTCTGGTTTTTTCTTTTCTCGTTTTTTCTTTGGTTTTCTTGGTTTTTTCTTCCTCCAGTTTTTCGTCCCCCACTGCCAGTTCACCTCTCCTCCCTGCCTCTGCTCTGTTCTTTTTTTTTTTTTTGCGTTTTTGGCCCCTGTTTCCTTCTGGTTCTCGACCCCTGTTTAGCCGGTTCACCCCCCGTTTTCCCCCTCTTTTCCCCTGCTCTGCTCTACCTTTTATAAGGCCAGAGAACTTCAAAAACCACTACCTCCTCGAACAGGATCGTGGTAGAAGACATGGTCACGATTGGTATCGGATGCACTGTGGATTTCCCAGTTGAATCAGCCGCCATCCACGCGAAACAGAAGGGATAATGAACAGTACTACAAAACGGCACCGTATGACTATTTTCACTTTGGTCCCTAACGTTTTAATCTTAACAAATGGGACCTTAAACAGTCATAAAGAATTTTTTTTAATTGTGCCCCTTGGATAAATTTCAATTGAATCCTCGGTTAAATACCATTTACACAATAGTCTTGGAATTCTGGAATATTTAATTTGATCCTTGAATTATAATTTTTTGTAATTTTACTTTTAATTAGCTCTAAATTTTATTATTTCTTCAATTAAGTTGCTGGTTTCTTTAATTAATTAAATCAAAGTTTAATTAAGTCTATAAACTTATTAATTCTTTAATTAAGTCCTTGATTTTATTAATTAAACTAATCTAAAATTTAATTAAATTCCCAAACTTATTAATTCTTCCATTTTTGACCAATTGACTCTCAATTTTGATAATTTCAACCCTTAACTTTGAATTTGTGTTGTCTTGAACTCTATTTTCAACTATATTTAATTTGTTCAAAATTTGGGTTATAATAGATGCCTTCTCTTTATAATATTTACAATGCAAAGTCATTGGAAATTTTTATTTTTATTTGGTTTTTTGTAGTAAATTTATAAAGAAAAGTAGACACAAAAGAAACCTTTGCTTTTCTAAGAGTTCTAAAAATTTCAAAAACTGTAGATTGGCATATGACTTTTTAAGAGAGAACAAGTCATTTGGAAGATGACCCATTGTTTTTTTTTGTTTTTTTTTAAAATGAATCAAATTATTTTGGACAA